GAATATTCCTGCCCAGACTGGAGTTCCTTCTGCCCACGAGTCTGTGGCCAGATTTCTTGGCTAAATGATGAACGGGGGACTCTGGGATGTCCAGAGAGCCCCAGGCTGGGTCCTAGTGGGAGTGAGGGACGTCCCTGGGCTGCGGGGATCCAGAGCAGACCCCAGAGGCGTCTTCCCTGCAGAAGGCCTGATCAGGCCCTCAAGTTGGCGGGTAATTAATTTGCTTAATTAAGGGGGGCAGGTGCAGGGCTCCTTGGGGATGCGCTGGGGAGCTGCGTGACTTCGCTGCAGAAGCATCTCCCGCGCTGTTGTTACCACAGGTCAGGGGTTGGTGGCAGAAAACTAATTAGGAAGCGGCGTGGGAAGCATTGCACCTTGGAGCAGAGGCCCCGGCATCTGCCGGCCTGAGAGGGGGTGGGGCCCTGGGTGCAGGTGGGCCCCAGGGAGCTCCATCTCCCTGTGATGGCCCACCGCTGCGGGAGTGGAGAGGGAGAGAGGCGCCGTGGAGCTCACGGGCTGACATTTATCATCCACCCTGTTAAATTCTGTTTCCAGAAACACTGGGGCAGCCCCTCTCCTTCCCGAACCACAGGCACAGCTGAGCGGCCTGCAGGACATGGAGACGGCTCCTGGCTATGCCGGTGCCCACCCTGGATCAGAAGGGCCCTGTCCAATGGCCTGAGTGGGGCAGAGCTGCCCCCCCAGCAGCCAGCCCGCGACCCAGCACCCTGGACTTGCTGCCACAGGCTGCGGCACCCGCACCTCAGCTGGTGCCACCTGAGGACCTTTGTCCTAGCTTGTGCCTCGGGCCAGGGCTCTCGCTGCTCCATCCCACCCCTTTGCCTCTCTGCAGAAGCCCTGACCACTGCCCTACACTGTCCTCGCTGCCTCCAGTGCCCTCTCTTAGCACTCTGCACACTGTGCGGCTGTCCCATCAGACTGTGACCCCAGGCTGGACTTGCCTTGGGCCACTCTCAGTTATTCAGTGAACACTGAGTACCTACTGTGTGCCTGGTGCTGTCGTAGGTGCTACAGATGGCAGAGAGAAAGGCTGACAGTCCCTGCTCCCAAGGGACCTCAACACTCCGTGGTCAGGGCCGAGAGAGAGCACGGGGTCTGTCAGGGGCCCTGAGGGCTGCTGAGGCGGATGGGGCGGAGAACGAGGGTGGCGTCAGGGGTGGTCAGGGAAGGCCCTTCTGAGGAGGGGGCTGTTATCGGCTTAATTGTGTCCCCTGCAAATTCATATACTGAGGTCCTAACCCTCAGTACCCCAGAATGTGACTATATTTTGGGGAGAGAGCCTTTAAAGAGGTGATTAAGGTTAAGTGAGGTCATGTGCGTGGGCCCTAATCCAATGTGGCTGGGGTCCTTATAAGAAGAGGAGATGAGGACACAGACATGCACAGAGGGAAGCCCATGTGAGGACACAGGGAGAAGACGGCCGTCTACAAGCCAAGGAGAGAGGCCTCAGGAGGAACCAGCCTTGCCCACACTTTGATCTCAGACTTCTAGAATTGGGAGACAATAAATTCCTGTTTAAGCCCCCCATTCTGTGGTACTTTGTTACGCAGAGCTAGCAAACTAACAGGGACTTTTGAGTAAAGACCCACCAAGGAGGAGGGATGGAGCCCGAGGGCTGCCTGGGATGTGTTCCAAGGTGGAAGCTTCTCGGTGTGGTCAGGGACCAGCAAGGAGGTCTCGGGGCTGAGCGGCCTGAGATGAGGAGCTGGTGTGGTCCAGTGAGGGGTCAGGTCGTGTTCTGAGTGGGAAGAGGAGTGAGGGGCAGGACCTTCCTGTTGTGTTCCCACTGCTTTGGGACTGTGGGGCCGGAGCAGGGAGACGCAGTCCAGCCGGACAGGATCCTGGGGGGACCTCCAGCATGAGGCCACTGCTTCCCGTCCCCAGGCCATGGCTGATGGTTGAGGCAGCCGTGGCCTTGCCTACGTGAAGCCGGTTCTATCCAGAGAGTTGCCCGTCCACACACGTAACCCGCAACCTTGCAGAATCCCCCCACCCACAGTTGTGGTGAGTCCTACAAAGGGGAGCCGGGCTCAGTGGGAAGGGTATCCCTGGTGGGGGAGCCGCATGGGCAAAGACTCAATGGGGGGTGCAGCTCAGGGCCTTTGGGGAGCTGAGCAGAGCCCGGCAGAAGGAGCTGAGGCCACACTGGCCTGAGGACCCAGGCTGAGACCTGGCATGACGAGGGGATGCTGGGGGCACCTGGAAAAAAATTTGCCAGCTTTTTTTTTTCTCTGACTGGCAGATTGTCTTTCAGCTTGATCCCCTACCTCGGGGTGGCTTTATCCCTGTCAGATTTAGGGACATGCTGTGTGACTTGCTCCCTCGTCACAGCAAGTCCTCGGGACCCACAACCTCCGGAGTCCTTCAGATGTGCCCAAGAAGCCTGACTTGAAGGCCCGAGGTGCGTGTGCACATTTGCCTTTGATGGAAAATAAGTCACCTAGTTTACCTTAACTTAATTCAGATGTGAGCTCACCATTTGTCAAGAGATAAACGAATGTGGGGTGCCGAAGGGACACAATGAAATGCTCTTCAAGTCTGTATTGTGAACAAATGTGCAATTCTTGGCCATTCCACTCTGTCGTCCGCAAAAGTGAGGGGCGGCTGCATGGATATTTTGCGTGTTGAGAAGGAATAAGAGTGGGACGCACCCATGGGATGTGCCCACAGGATACATCCACTGGAACCTTCTAAATCACCTGTGGAAAAGGCCAGGAAAGAGAACACCCATATTACGGAGAGTAAGGACCTGATTTCCGGTGGAATCGCGACTCCTTGCTGCTGTGTCTCCAGGCACGTCCGAGCCCAGACACAGGCTGGCCACCGGGCGCCTCCCCCTGTTCTGCCGATGTGCCCCCAAATAGCCGGCCCCTATTCCCAGCAGCTCGGATGATTGCAGACAGCCCCTTCCCTCCTGCTGGCAGCTGGTGGGCCCCTGATTACATGAGACTTCTAGGAGTAGGGGAAGCTGAGAAGGTATTAAAACACAGCTTTCAGAGGCACCATCTGTAACAATGTCCCAGATAAAGCCTGGCCCCAGAGTGTGATGGAAGCTGCCTCTCCAGGGTCGGGTCGGAACTGCTCTGAAGGCACGCGGGGCTTTGTAGGAGGGGCAATTCCACAGTAGGAGGGCTCTGGCCTCTGCCAGGGGAGGCTGTGACGCAGGCTGGGTGCTGCTGTGCTATAGGTTCAATTGTGTCCCCCCCAAATCCAAATGATGAAGTCCTAAATCCAAGAATCTCAGAATGTGGCCTTATTTAGAGATGGAGTCTTTACAGAATTAAAATGAGGTTATTAGCCCCTAATCCAATATGACTGGCGTCCTCATAAAAAGGGGAAAATCTGGACACAGGTACGGGCACATACACACACACACACACAGAACACCATGTGAAGACTGGAGTGATGCTGCCATGAGCCAGGGAACTTCCAGAAGCTAGGACAGAGGCCTGGAACAGATCCGTCCCTCACAGCCCTAAGAAACCAACCCTGCTGATATCTTTAATTTGGACCTCCGGCCTCCAGAACTGAGACAATGAATTTCTGTTGTTGAAGCCCCCCAGTCTGTGGGGCAGGGGAGCAAATGAAGACACGCTGAGCACCTGGTGAGGAAATAGACGTGTGCTGGGAGAGGCCATGAAGGATGGTGATCATGGGATTACCCACAGGGATGAGGGACATTTGACAGGGGCCTCTCCTCTCCTCGCGAGCAGCTGTGGGGGGGGGACAGTCTCTTCTGGCACAGACTTCCTGGCCCCCCTGCTCCCAGGCTGCAGTGGGGGGAAGTTGATTTGCTTGTATAAAATAAAATATAATAAAAGCTACAAAAAGCTGAGGGAAAGACGAAAGTAATTAAGAACCAGTTTCCTGAGATGAGTGTAGCTGTCCTCCCATGGAAGCCCGACCTGTTCTCTCAGGTCCCGAGGAGGCCAGCAGGTTCGGGGTGTGCTCCCAGGTGGAGGAGCCCCCAGCTGACCCACACTGTCCCTTGCCGTGAATAGCCCCTGGTGGGGTTTCTGGTTGGAGGGGTTCCCCTTGCTGTGAAGGCTTGGCCCCTGCACTGAGGTGATGTAATTTCTGCCTTCACCAACCACAAAAGTGACAAGTGACCCCACACTACACTGATGCCCACTGCCGCTTAAGGGAGCTTCCTTCTTGGGCATTGGCCCGATGCCCTGCCTAGCTCTGCAGAGACCCATAAAGGCCCCCCTGCAGACACAAGTCCTCGTCCCCCTGGGCCCCCGGGGGTAGGCACTCTTGGGTGGAGGCATATGCAGCCCAGGAGCCCCCGAGGGCAGAGTTGGGGGTCTCCTCTTTGTTCCCAGGCACAGAGCAGGTTCTAGCCGAAGAGCATGTGGACTGGTTAAGGGTGGAGCCGAGTAATGACATTACATCTCTTCCCAGTAGGGACTTGGTGGGGCTGGGGATGATGGCGGAGCAGGGTCCAGGGCAGGATATAAGACAGAAATGCCAGGAATCCTCCTTTGTGTTGTGAGTTGAATTATGTCCCCCCAAAAGGTGTGTTCAAGTCCTAAGCCCTGGTACCTGTGAATGTGATCTTATTGTAAATAGGGTCTTTGCTGATGTAATCAAGTTAAGAGGAGGTCATTCGGGTAGACCCTAATCCAATGTGACTGGCATCCTTGTAAGAAGAGGGGAATTTGGACACAGAGAGACACAGAGGGAGAAAGCCATGGGATGAGAGAGGCAGAGATTGGAGTGATGTATCTATAAGGCAGGGAACACCAAGGATAGCCAGCAACCACCAGAAGCCAGAAGAAGCAAGGAAGCATACTCCCCTAGCCCTTCAGAGAGAGCGTGGCCCTGTCAACACCTTGATTTTGGACTGCTGGCCTCCAGAACAGTGAGAGAATCAATTTCTGTTGTTTGAAGCCACCTAGTTTGTGGCAGTTGTCACAGCAGCCACAGGAACTAACACGCTTAGTCTTTCATTGGCACTTTCAACACAGATCATTGAGGGTCTTCTATGTGCCCGGCACTAGGGGCACAGCTGTGAATAAGGCAGGAGACAGACACCAATCTCATAAACCAATAAAGTAGTAACTCCAGATAATGACAGAGGCTATGATGTAACCAAAAGGGGGCCAAGAGGATGACAGCAAGGGTTTGGGGGTATGCCACGGCAGCCGGGCCATGGGGAGGCCTCTCTGGGACAGGGATTTTCAGGGTTGGGTAGGGGATGCGAGAAGCAGAGCCCACAGGGCGGAGGGTCAAAGGCCCCAGGACTGACCTGAGCTGTGCATGTCTGATGGACAGCAAGGGGATGAGTGAGGTGGTGTAGGGTGGATGGGGGCGGGCCTTCACAGCCTCCTGCCCGTGTCTTGGAAGAGTGAGTGTTACTGCAGGTGTGATGGACAGTCATTGGAGGGTTTAAGCTGGGGAGTGACCCCATCTGAGCATGCTTGAGAAAAGTCACCCTGGCTGCCCTGTTGAAGCAGTGGCACAGTGACAGGGAGGTGCAGGTTCCAGGTGCGAGACGATGGAGGGATGAGCTTGGACATGTGTGTGATTTGGCTGGTCTGGGGGTGCTGGGGGGACAGGATTGGTCTCTCTGGTCATCTCTGGCTGGGTTTGCCCAAAGGTGACACCAGATGAGGCACAGTTAGTTCTTCCTCTAGGGGAGGAATGTCACCTTGTGGAGTAAGGAATTCAGCTTCCTCCAAAGAGAGGTCTGGCCCTTGTCCTGGCTACTGGGAATTTCCCAAGTGATAGAAGCGTTGTTATTCATAATGACCCCTCAGACCACACCTGATTGTTTATGCTAACGAGGTGACTCTGGTGGACTCCTAGAGAGTTTAAGTTAAGGAAATGACTCAGGGTGGAGGCTGGCCACACTGGAAAGGCCAACCATGTGATTAGAGGCTTGGGGCTTTGAGCCATGTAATATCAACCTGACCTCCAGGGACGGGACAGGGGCTGGAGACTGAGTTCAACCACATGGCCGGGGATTCAATCATGCCGGTGTAATGAAACTCCAATAAAACTCTGGACACTGAAGCTTGGACAAGCTTCCCTGGTTGGCAATATACTCTGAGTATTGTCACACATCATAGCCAGAGGGGGTCCAGGACTGTCTGGGACTCCACGGGGAGAGGATGACAGAAGCTCGTGTTTGGACCACTTCCAGACCTTGCCCTGTGCACAAACCAAAGCCGTCCTTTGGCTGGTTCTAATTTATATCCTTTTGCTCTAATAAAACTGTAATTGCAAGTATAGTGCTTTCCTGAGTCCTGTAAGTTGTTCCAATGAATTATCGACCCTGAAAGTGGTTTTGGGAAACCCCAGAACTTGATGTTGCGGTCTTACCCTTGAGTTGGGCTAACTCTGCATTCAACCCAACACCACTAGGGGGCAGTGGGGAGAGAGTGGGGCTGCCTCAGGCAGAAGATCCCCCTTGGAACAGATCAGTCTTGGGTTGATGCCCCAAATCAGGGGAGCCACAAGACATCACATTGTTTTCTCATCCCTTCCTCTGCTTTGTCCAAGTTGAAGAAAGAGCCCCTCCCCCCACCACAGCAGAAGGCTAATAAAGACACAAACATGAGCCCCTGATGGTGAGAGCAGTCTCCTCATCACCAGCACTGTTCCCTTGCACCTCTTTAATTCTCCTTTTAAAATATTTATGGAAGGAGTGTTTATAGACTCAAAATGTAATTTAGACCTGAAGGTGCCCTGGTGATACAATAAGTCACACATAGCAAAGACCAATTGGAGTCAATGAGGCCCACACAATGATGTAACCCTGCAGCAGACCATCATTACGGAATTGGTTTTTGGGGGAGGAATGTCCTGTTTTCTCTTTCTTGCATGCCCTGGACTCGTGGCAGAGACACATAGACAATTCCCTTTTAATGCATCCGAGCCACCTCTGGGCACCCATAATTCTGTGGTCATTCAAATAACACGGAAGACTGATCACACCTCAAAATCACCACCTTGAAAAATTAATTTCTCTCATTGTTTGAAAACAATTTTCCTAGTGTTTCCTTGTCAATTTAGAGCATGCTTAAGTCCTCGGTTGGTTTCCTTTCATCTTGATTCATCTGATGGATTCTTCTGAGGATTCCACTTTGAAAACCTAATTGACCATACACAAAACAAAGGCTGTTGATGGCTTTGTGAGAGTGTGTGTATATATACTGTGTGACGGGCTAATTTTACCATGTTCTAATTACAGCGCTGGATGGCATTATAAATTTGTGTTCAATTAGGCTCAAGCCATCAACTGCTGAATACATTATAAATTTTGTTGAATCAGCCCAACTGATGTTACAAGATCCACTGTAATAGCAAGCAAAGATTCAGTCATCAGATTAACTGAACACCCCCATCCCCATTCAAACTTGTATGTGTCACCATAAAATTGGTTAAATAAAGAAATAACAACCTTATAATGAACATGAATGTGGACATAAAATCAAGGCATAAAGTGTATAGCAAAGTCCACAGTAGACCTGTAATGCTCTCTGCCTGCGATTCCATAAGCTACAGAAAGAGACAGGTCATTCTGGCAAAAATCAGTCCCCTCCTGAAGAAAAGAGGAGGAGCAGAAAGGTTCAAATTGGATCTCTGCTAATCTGACCCCCCTAGTTGGAGCAGATCCTTTGAAGGAGGTGCACTGGTTAGTTCAATATCCTAGCTAGAAAAGAGGATTAAGAACTAGGGTGGGCATCGCTAGTGTTCACCAACCTCCTGATCTCCTCCCCTTCCCAGCTCATGGAAAGCTGTACCCTTCGGCCAGGCTGTGTGACCAATCTGGCCAATGATATAGAAGAAGTGGCATGTGTCACCTCCAAGTTGAGGCATTGAAGAGAAGGCATGAATCTCCAGTCTCTATTCTTCCCCTGTCTTGGTGATTGACAAGGCCTCCATCAGCCTGGATCTCTGAGTGACTGTGTGGAGAAAACATATCTGGCCCCTCCCCTGGCCTGGCCTCCATATGCCAGATCTAGACCGTGAGCTAGAAAGAAATCTGTGTTGTGTTAAGGCACTGAGATGGGAGGGTTATTTTGTTAATGCATATAGCCTCTCCCATACTGACTAATACAAGAATTTCAGCATAATTGAAATATTGTAAACCAGTTTGGACCATCAGTTTATTGTGTCTCTGTTGAGAGAGCTTGGATGGAGGCATCTCAGTCTCTTGGAGGGCTTGGGGTTATTTAGGCCCTTAATGGTTAATGTATAAATCTGCATGTTGGCACCTGTGTTGTCCTGGGCCATAGTTTTGACCTGACCTTCTCAGGTTCTATGTTTAGAAAATGAGTCTAGACTTCATTCACTCACTCATTGATTCATTCATTCATTCATATATTCTGAACATCAGGATACGTTAGGGACTGTGCTAGGAGCTGAAGAGGGAGGAATAATAATGATAATAATGATAATAAAAGCAAACTTACTGGGAGCTGGCTACGGGACAGCATTGTGCCAAATGCTTCACATGTGTTATGAGACCTGATGCTCACCCCCCTGCACGTGGCAGGGACCATCCTCACTCCCATTTCACACCAGAGGGAATGGGAGCTTAGAGGAGAGGGAACTTGCTCAAGGTGTCACCTCCAGGAGGTGACAGAGCCAGGATCTGAGCCCGACCTCTGAACTTAAGAGCCTCTGCCTTAGCCCCGTCCAGTGCCCAGAGGCAGGAGATGAAGGCCCCTCCTGCCAGCCCCTCTTCTGCACCACCCGTCTGTTCTTGTGGCTTCCCCCGTAAGCCCTTCAAAGACTCAGTGCTGTCTTAGGATAAGAGCCTAAGGGCCTACACCCCCCGCCCTGGCTTCAAGGCCTCATGATCAGGCCCCTGCCTGCTTCTGCAGTCCCACCCTGTCACATACTAGCTAGATCCTTTCCACCTCTGTGGCTTTAGGGCTGTCTCCTTGACCTCCGTCGCTCTGTCCCATCTGTGTGACACTTGTGTCTACCCGAGGAATCTTCCCTCCTCCAGGACCCAACTCCAAGTCTGTATCTTCCCTGAAGCCCCATGCCGCTACTCCCTGGCCCCCGTTCCCTCCCCCCGGAATGTTAGCGTCTGTTCCTCATGTAGCATCGTCATGGTTTACTCCTGGTTGGTCACCCCACTGGACTAGAGTCCCTCATGTTTGCCTCCCTGGCCCGGCATGGTGCCTCGAGCACAGTGGGTGTCAGTGCTCATTGGTCCCGTTATATCCAAATGTACCTGCCGCGGGGAGAACAATCCTGGCAGACGCGGAATGGTGCGTTCCCCATGGGGCAGCCACCACCTCGGCAATGACAGAACTGGCTCTGAGAAGCGACATCTATATACATCCCTCATCGTGGGCCAGCAGCTCCCTGGAGGTGCTTTCCCCCTTAACAGAGAGTAATGGCTGCCTACAGCCGATTAGGCCTGATTTCATCCTAAATAGCAGTCATTGGCACTCACTGTCCTTTGTGGTTAGAGAGGACACAACAGAAGAAAGAGTTGAAAGAGACACTTCTTTCCATCTGAGCTCAGCCCAGTTCCTGGATCTCCACAGCCATGCTGTCTAAACAGAGCCACGGCCTCCCAGGCCCACCCAGCCTCCTGGATCAGAACCTAGATACAACGCCTGTCATCTCACACAGTTCCCCAGGGGCACTTCCGTACCCACCCACCTCCAATGCCAAGACAGTAGGGTATTTCCTGGGGGTCATGAAACTGGAATGTTCTTCTGAGAGGTGACCACCTCTCCCTGGGGCAGCTGTTCTCAATCCTGCTGTGCATTTGAATCACAGACTCTCTGGAGTGAGGCCCAAGCATCGGTATTTTTTAAAGCTCCCTAGGTGAGTCCAGTGTGCAGGTGGGTTGAGAATAAGTCTGCTAAGGGGCATTGGGGGAACAGGTGCAGACTTCCAGGCAGGAAGCATTCGGAGGCTGGGCCGATTGGAACTGGGACCTGACCCTTTGCAAGAGGGTCCTGCTGCCTCCTCCCTGCCTCCCCAGCATACTAATATCAAAAATGCTGCTGTCAG